GGAAGGCCTTAGAAATTGTCAAAGACTCCATTCACCCTAGTCATAGACTGTTCTCACTGCTACCTCATGGCAAGCGGTACCGGAGCGCCAAGTCTAGGTTCAAAAAGCTTCTAACAGCTTCCACCCACAAGCCATAAGACTCCTGAACAGCTAATCATGGCTACCCAGACTATTTGCCTCCCTACTGTTATTTTATTTTACTGCTGCTCTTTCATTATTTGCTATTTTTTATTTTTTACTTAACACCTTTTTTTGTTAAAAACTGCATTGTTGGTTGAGGGCTTGTAAGTAAGCATTTCACTGTAAGGTCTACACCTGTTGTATTCAGCACATGTGTCAAATAACATTTGATTTGATTTGAGGTGAAGGTTCACCTTCCAACAAGACAGCGACCCTAAGCACACAGCCACGACAACACAGGAGTGGCTTCGGGACAAATCTCTGAATGTCCTTGAGTGGCCCAGCCAGAGCCCGGACTTGAACCCGATCGAACATCTCTGGAGAGACCTGAAAATAGCTGTGCAGTGACGCTCCCAATCCAACCTGACAGTGCTTGAGAGGATCTGCAGAGAGGTATGGGAGAAACTCCCCAAATACAGGTCTACCAAGCTTGTAGCGTCATACTCAAGAAGAATTGAGGCTGTAATCGCTGCAATGATATTTGAGTATTGTTATTTTTTTTTTATCAATGGGGAATTGTGTGCAGATTGATGAGGGGGAAAAACGATTTAATCAATTTTAGAATAAGTCTGTAATGTAACAAAATGTGGAAAAAGTCAAGGGGTCTGAATACTTTCCAAATTCACTGTACATATCTACCTCTATCACTCCAGTATCCCTGCACATTGTTAATATGGTACTGGAATTTACCCGGTATATATAATTATATATACTTTCTCGTGTTCTTCTTATTTGTTATTTCTATTTATTTTTTGTTCTACCTTGTTATTTTTAGTATTACATTATTATTGATTACTGCATTGTTGGATTTAGCGCTCGCAAGAAAGGCATTTCAATGTACTTGTGCATGTGACATTAAAACTTTCAACTTGAAAACTTTAAACTTGATCCAAATGACCTGGATTGCAGTTGAGATTACATTAAAAGTACATGGTTCAAGTGATCAATGCCGTTCGAGATTCTGCACAGATTATTACAGCAATTGTGAAGAAATGTATATTCACAGTAACCTCAAAATGTGCCCATGGATGTGCGGAATTAAAGGGCCAGATGCGCAATTAAAGGGGAATTACACTCAAAAATCTAAATGTGTTCATTTTCTTCAAGGCCTAAAGAAATTGTCTTCTGATGTAATTTATGCATTGACATGGACTCAGAACATCCAATTGTGTTGTTTCTCTATGAACAATTGCATTTTTGAGACTGACAAAAATTATAATCTAAAAACAGGACAAATTAAACTGTGAGAACATAATTTTGGAAAATATAAAACATACTTTTTGGGGAAAAAACACAAATTGTATAGGGCACCCTTAAAGTCATTTATTAACCATTATTTTACCAGGTACATTGGCAGAAAACCTAGTGCACTACTTTCTCTTGTACACTAAGATCCTGTGGAAGAGTTGCGGGGAAGAGTTGCAGGGGAAGAGGAGGAGAAGAATGTGTCTATTTAACGACTAGAAAAAAATTGTAGCTCGTGACATATTTCATTTTTTAAAAAGTAGCTCTCATGCTAGAAAAGGTTGGCGACTCCTGATGTAGATAGATCAACTCTCCAGTAAAAGGTGCTTCCCAGCCTATAGTTTTTTTTTCTGATGTTGTTTTAAAGGTACAAATTCAACATATATTATACAAGGTTTGTCTATGTTGAAATTTGGTTACCATGATGACATAATCCTGTGGTTGAAATTTCACCCTCAAAACAACAGTTGATTACTTTTTTCAAATCAAATGTATTTTCCAAGTCACAATATGTTGACAAATTACGTTGAAACAACGTTAATTCAACTAGTTTGTGCCCAGTGGGTTATGCCCTATACCTCCAACCCTCCCACACCTCACCCCACCACACCATCAGCTCCCTAATCCAGGTCATGGGAATAGAGCATGACTTGCCTGGGTTTGATATAATCAATCCAATTCTCAACCTTTCTCCCAAAGTGGGCAGTCATACACTCCTTCCCACGCATTTAATAGCATTGAAACCTATCAGACATGCAGAGACCTATAGTCACCGCTGTTCTCACAATGGAATGAGACAATTTCCGTCCGGCAACAATAAGTAGCGGCATATTTGTGGCATAATAATTATATTGATTGACTAAATAAAACATATAATCACAAAACAAAAGAAACAGCAATAATACAGCATGTGTGGTCATTTCCTGGTTACGATTGTTATAATTCTAGGTACAGTATTCCTAAATGACCTGCAGTTCAGTATGGAGAGGGATCGAAAGCATCCCTCAACCAAGAGCCAAACATGGCTTTTCTTCTCCAAGAAAATCGATAGAGAGAACAAACTGTCCCCACTAGATGACTCTGGTTCTGATTCCGTTGGTAGTGGAAACACATTGAGGAACCATCATGCCTGGTTCTCTTTAGTTCTGTTTCGTTAGTTCCTCCTGGTTCATGCAATGGAGAATTGCCATTAAATAATTGAAACCAATTAGTCTTGAGGTGCAGGTGCAAAATATCCAATGAGTATAATCATCCTCTGGAGTTCATTACCACATTCCATATCAGAACTTGTGACGTGACTTGTCTGTTTTCCAGCGTCCCACTGTTGTGTTCAGGCTTGGTTGACTATAACAGCTTCAGTTCAACTTCACCATCCTGAGCAGAGCCACACTCAGTCATTGGGACTCATACACTCTAAAAATGAGGGGTTCAACAAGGGTTATTCTAAGATCCTCAAAGTTCTTTGAAGAAACTTAGCGTTCATGGCACTGAAAATGGCCCCCAAAAGGTTCTTCCAAGAACCCCATAGGAAGTGGGGTTAATCGAGGAACCTTCTTAGTTGGTGGGGGTTCTTGCAGGAACCTAACTGCCCAATTAAAACATTTGGATTTGAATTTGAAAGGGCCACAGGTGCAGGCACTTCACTGAAAAATGTAAAGATCTCCGCAATTTAAGGTAAGGTTTGTCCCTTGTATGATCTACATTTATATTGTTTTATGATGATACCATTTATCTTTTCATATTTGTGCAAATCTTTCTAAAAACAGAAAATGGACACAATTCAATGGATATCAATCAACAAAGAGGTAAGAATATGTAGGCTATAAGAATATGTTGAAGGCTAGCTTTATGGGGTGCAGATGACTGAACTGCTCACTTTTGTGTCTGTGTCTGCAGATATACAGACAAGGAGGCATACAAAGGTATGTAAATTGGTATTGGCATATTATGCAGATCACATTTACCATCCACCTCCCTTACCTCTTCAATGAATATCCCATAGGCCTCTACATTATGGACAAGGTATGTGTACGAAAACCATTATCAAAACAGTTTTTTTCATTTACATTCACCACAAAAACCAAGGTATGAATACTGTCTCGTGCATGTTTTGTTAATCATCTGTATAATTAAAACATTTGGATTCACAGACTTCACCCTCCCTACACCTCTCAATATAACAGGAAACCTGTTCGATCACCATGCACTGCAAAATAATTCTGGCTATGGATACGGAGAACATCAACACATTAACATCAACACACCAGAGGATATACCCATTGGACTTGGGGCTCTGCTGGGAGTTTACCTCATATTTAGATGTTTTTATTCTGCTTTGCCAGTAAAATCATAATAAACACGGAGAACTCAAATATTGTGTTATTGTTGTTATTGTTATCTGTATTATTATTATTATTATTATTATTATTCATAATAATGGGGGGGGGGGGGGGGGTCTTCAAAAGGTTATTTGAGGATCCATTAAAAGGGGTTCTTTGAATAACTTATAGGGGTTCCCCCACAGTTTCAATTTGAAGAACCCTTAAAGGATCCGCCAGGAACCTTTTCTTTTTAGAGTGTATGTTCCTCTCATAAACTGGTCCCACACAGCAGATGCCAAGCAACGGAGTCTAAATAAATTCACACACAAAAATAATATACATTTTTCATGTACACAAAAGCTGTACACTGTAATAGTAGCCTAGGTATTACTTAGTTGAAATAATAATGCGTTCCTGCTGTTTGAGTGTTCTTTGTTTCTGAGCAGAGACCAGGGGAGCGCAGAACAGAACAGCAGATGGGGTCCAGGGCATTCTGATTCTCATGGCTGAAAGGGCTGCATCCAAACAGGCAGAGGAAAGAAAGACAAATGACATGAGTCACCTCGTCTTCAATCTCTGACTTGGCATTTTGAGAATAACAACAGGCAACAAAGGGAAAATAGATCCCAGATGACAGAAAGAAAATAAAAAAAGAGAAGAAGAAGAAGAAGAAGAAGAAGAAGAAGAAGAAGAAGAAGAAGAAGAAGAAGAAGAAGAAGAAGAAGAAGAAGAAGAAGAAGAAGAAGAAGAAAAAGAAGAAGAAGAAGAGAAGAAGAAGAAGAAGAAGAAGAAGAAGAAGTGGGGGATAAACAGATTATGTGGGAGACACAAATGAAAGGTTTGGTTGGGTGGATGTGTGTACATTGGACAGAGTTAAAGGGTAGATTTTGCCATTCTGTGTCCTGAAAATGTCCAGGAGAAACCTGGAGGACAGTTGAGAAGAACATCAAAGACTGTGGCCTGACAGGAACCCTAACCAAGAAGGCTGCCAATGCTGACTAGAAATAGTAGCACTCTCTCTCTCTTATGAAGGCCCCATGTGTCCCAAGGCATGAAGATTATTAATTAAATAAGTAAGTAAGAGTCCTGGATGGGCCTTAGTAGAAGAAGTGGATTGTCTACCCATCTACCCATCGTCTACCCATATACTAAATGAAAGGTTTAGTTGTGTGGGTTTGTGCGTAGTACATTGGCGAGTCAATGGGTGGATCCCATGCCATGCTATCGGATGGGTCCTCACAGGACGCTACTGGTCTACTTACAGACGTTGACCCACTCAGTGACTCGACACTCCTCACAGAGCACGTAGCAGCACCAGTGGAAGCGGCAGTGGCACCTCTCACTACGTGTCTGCTTCAGGATGTTGTGTCCTCTCCCACAGCACAGGGACCCGCAGCTGTCCATGCTGTGGCTTGTCTTGTTGCAGATCCGTCCCTGGGTGCCCAAAGAGTCCAGGGATGGCTCCCGTTCACAGAAATCTGGAGACTTCTCAAAGTAGACCAGCTCCCGTGACACACTCGGCCTCCGCCGACCCCCATTGTTTGGACTCCCAACGCCCCCAGACCCAGATCTGGACCCCACTCCAGCCCTGTTCCTAACCCCATTCGAGGCTCCATTGCTGGCTGCAACACGGGGGTTGAACACCCCGTTGTTCTTGTTCTGGGAGTTGATGAAGATGGCAGCGAGGAACTTATCCCTCAGCAGAGAACCCAGCAGCCTGAACTCAGGAGACACGTACCAGCAGGTCTTGAACTGGCAGCTGCCTGACGTGCCGTGGCACTTACACCTCCGCTTCATGTTGTCCGTGACAAGCTGTGCAGGGGGAAACAATCATGTCAATATTCATAGAAGTCTAGAAAGGTTCTGATTGCAATGTACTGGGGTAACAACTATAAACATATTTAAAGATGCACTATGCAGAAATCGCTCCGCCATTTCCTGGTTGCAACATTTCTAATAGTTCGCCTAATTTCAGTTTCTGTGACAAAACACGCAAATATAGTGTAGAGAATAATTGTACCAAAACTTGATGAATTCCATTGCGAAACCTTCACCAAATGAGAGCCTGAATCCCTGCAGTTATCATCTTGATAAAAATACACAAGATGAATCCTATCTGTCAGAGTATCTTACCTGTCGGCCCACCCTGTTATTGTGTATCCTCATACGGGCGTGGATATCCCTCGGAGTCCCACGGGAGTCCAACCAATCCCTGGAGAATCTCTCGCCGAAGTGGGTGTCATGGCTACAGCCCCCCCACTCCCAGGTTTCCTGCAGGGGGCTGAAGTCCTCTGGCAGGGGATTGAGGAGGGAGGAGGGGTGGGTAGAACCAGAACGCAGGCTGGCTGGCACATCTCTGAAATCCTTGGGGGGGGGCCCACCTCCCCCGCCCCCTCCCATGCCCGCTCTGGCCCCGCCTCTCTGTAGGGTCTGCAGCTGCAGCTGGGTGAGTTTGAGACGGATCTTGTCATCGTCCAGGCGACGCTTGGCCTCGCAGCCGCAGTCCCGGAGCTTGCCCAGGCTGCAGGCGGAAGCCACGGAGTGTGCCACACCCGCTGCCAGCAGAGACAGAGAGAAGGCAGTCTCCCTGAAGCCTGGGGGAGAGCGGAGAGAGACACATCAGAGTCATGATGTCATCATACTGACTATAATCTAGATACCACAGGAAAACTTCATATCCATTCATTATTCTTATTCTATAAAGGAAAGCATACAAATACATTTCAGCATCCTTTTTTTGTCTACTATCCCAACCTAAGGCCTAAACGTTTTCCTGGCTAGGGACCTGGAGTTTTTTCTGGTCAGAACACATGATAAATCACCTGTCTGCATGCCCACCCTCCATCTTTCTCTGCCCCTGTGTCTCACTCACCCCTGTTGAGGATTGCGTTCTGGTGGGGCAGCTTGTCGTGGCTCTCCAGGGTAGAACAGTTCCACCGCTGGTCTCTGAGCTGGTGCTGGCACTCGTGGATGGCCACCTGGATGCACAGAAATAAATACAACACTACAATGGTCATTGGCATTTTCGCCAACGTGACTTAAATGATGGCCATCTTGGTCAGGGAATATTCATTCTAGACCCTGATCAAATATGGTCAAATATTGTATAAAACAATTAATTGTATTATATATCCCTATGACCTGTATGCCCTGCAGGGCCGAGGCCGTCACGTCGGGGCTCCGAACACACAGACGCATCTGACGCTTGCTCAGGCCCGCCAGCTTCAGGCAGACAGAGTTAGGGGTCAGCACTGGATCTCCTGCCACCTTCAGACCCAGGATGTCATTGCACAGCACCCTGAGGTGGGCATACATGCGTTGAGGAGGGAAGGAGGGGATACAGTGGCGTTGGCACAGGGTTCATCAATCAACTCTAGAGCAATATCTATCTGTGACGTGCCTGCTCCAGCCCTCCATCTAAGAGTGAAAGTGTTATGTAATGAAATGAAGATTCAGACAAAAGTATTTGCTGACACAGCATAATGCTAAATTCTGGGAAAATACGTATTTTCAAGGAAATAGAATGTTGATTATTATCTCTGGGATAACCATCATACTGTATCTACAGTAGGCCTACTTACATGTCTTCACTACTTTTAGTTACACAAATTACAGTGAAGCACAGTATTGTAAAAAGTGTGCAGTAGAAACCTGGATGGCATTGTTACTAAACCATCTTTGTTTTGCATGTCCTTAATCATGCAGTCTTCCAACTGTTGGTTCTGATTAGCTTGTGTGTGTGTGTGTGTGTGTGTGTGTGTGTGTGTGTGTGTGTGTGTGTGTGTGTGTGTGTGTGTGTGTGTGTGTGTGTGTGTGTGTGTGTGTGTGTGTGTGTGTGTGTGTGTGTGTGTGTGTGTGTGTGTGTGTGTGTGTGTGTGTGTGTGTGTGTGTGTGTGTGTGTGTGTGTGTGTGTGTGTGTGTGTGTGTGTGTGTGTGTCATTACAGGTCACAAACAAAGAAACATTTTGAAATCGTGATGTCAGCGGTAACAGCAGGCAGCAATAAGCATGTTAGTGAGACAGGTTTGAACGCAGACATCAAGGCATTGTAACATGTGCACTAACAAGTTATTTAACTAAAATAGAATATTAGATCAACCTCAAGGAAATATGAGTAGCTTAACAAAATTGCCCTCCGACATTACTTTTCGTTTTAATTATTTATCATCCACGGAATGCTCATTGAACATCATCACCACTTTATCAACTTCTCGTCACTCCCTCGGGCTACTTACGTGATTGCAGGTGACGTAAGTGCCGCTGCCAGAATCAGGACATGGTCCCAACGGAATGTATGTGATATCTCCATTTTGGTAAGCGTCTTTCCCGACGTGACATTAAAACACTGGTGTGAAAATTGATTAAAATAAGAATTGGACAAGAGTGAAGTAGATTATGGATGTGCCTCCAAAAGAACGAGGAGTGAAGAAAGGGAGCAGAATGGTTTGGGGCAAACGTGAAGGGGAGGAGGAGAGAAAATAAGGGAGGGGAGATGTCGCTACAGGCGGTTGTTTTCCAAGTATTGACCTTATGCGAAAAGCATCAACAGTTGACTAACCATTATGTGAATTTGACCGATAGCCAATAAGTGTCATAACATATCCAAAGACTTTTCGCGCAGGTACCATTTTCCTCACCAGCATCACCATCGCCATCAGGTCGACTGGCTGTGAGTGAGAAATCTTACTACCAGATAATAATGGAAAACACTTTCATATTTAACATCACTGATATGGATGTTTCCTATTTTGTTGGATACAACTGAAAGAAAACGAAAATATATTCAGATGAAACCCAAGAGAAAAATCATTCTAGATATGTCTAGGAAATAAATGACTATAGTGTTGGGGGGAGGGGATTGGTTGGTTGCTGCTGGTTCCACTGTACGACAGGGAGCTAGAGGCAGCAGCAGGCAGGCGCGCGGCTCTCCTCGCGGCGCTCCAACGATACTTGGGTAAACAGTCATCTGTTCCCCCTCTTCCTCCCCGCTTCCTCCCACCTCAATCAGCGGGTCTGTTCTTTATTATTGTGTTTAAAACAACTTAATCACTCCATAACAGTTTGATTATTTTTTCAGAGAATGAAAAAACCCCTTTACATGCAGAAAGGAATAGAGTCTTTGTTTAATGTCATTTGCAAACAAGTCATCAAATGTTGAATACAATTGTTGACTTAAAGTTCAAATAAGTTATTGTTTATTGTCACACTTCAGCAGTTTTCAATTTCTTTGATATAAGGATATTTTCATGCTTCATAACCTTTCATAGAGGAAAGTGTCGCACAATACCAAAAATGTTTTCTCTCAGTCTTTTAAGTTTGGCAAGTTGCCTTTGACATGTCTGTGCCAAAATAACACCCATCCTCTTGTCTGTCTTTTAGCCTTTGGAGACTATAGCTTCCCAAGAAATGACAAATGCACCAGATGAGATGCTGAGGCCTCTGATAAAGTTTTTCCACCCAGCTGGTTTAGGGTGTTTGAAATATACTGCCCATGGGATATCCCTCAGGTTGACTCAAATGTAAATTAAGTAAAATAGGCCTTATCTATCATGCACATAATCAGTTACTTGGCATAATACAATTAGAATTTAATCAGCAGGTGCATCCAGATAAACTATCGAATTCCAATTCATCCTTGTTCATGCTTCCAAATAACTAGGTATTATAACATAAAAATGTGTGATGTGGCTTCATAAAATTGAGTTAAAACCCCCCTTAACCGCCACCGGTTCACATAGTGACACCAATTCTTAATTTAATCTCCTTCTATTCCCTAAACTCCGGCAATGAAAAGTGCTTTAGCATTCTAGCTTGTCATGTATATCTAAGTGGCTTAAAAAGTGATTTGAAGTTGATTTCTATATAAAAGGCGTCGCTTTATCCGGATTGGGGACTCTAATCTGCTCGGTGTCGCATGAGTGCCCCAGGAAGCCCGTTTGAGCAGCACCTTTAAGAAGCAGGAGTATAAACGATGTAGGATAGCACTCATTAAAACCCCTGGACAAAATAACCTATCATGTCCTTAAACCATGAGGGAGAGCGAGGGGTGAGACACATTTGGTTCCTTGGAATTTGTGGGAACGTATGTTTTTGGTTTCACATTGGTTGTGGGAACAAAGTCATATGTTTCCTGACCGGTAAAACTGAAGGTTTTTTAAATGTTCTGAGAACAGAAGTGAAGCTTTTGCCTATTCTGGGAACGTTTATTTTTAGGTTGCAGGGAGGTTCTGAGAACGTTTTACTCTGGTTCCTTGAAAGTTTTCCTGGGAGGTTTTATTAATGATCTGAGAACAGAAATTACAGGGTATTTGGAGGTTTTTAAATAACTTCCTTAAAACTTTCACAGAATGTTTCAATAAGACTTTTACCACAAGGTGCTACAGAGGGTAGTGCATACGGCCCAGTACATCACTGGGGCTGAGCTCACTGACATCCAGCACCTCTATACCAGGTGGTGTCAGAGGAAGTCCCTAAAGATTGTCAAAGACTCTAGCCACCCAAGGCATAGACTGTTTTCTCTGCTACCGCACAGCAATCTGTACCGATGCAGCAAGTCTGGAACCAACAGGACCCTGAACAGCTTCTACCCCCAAGCCATAAGACAGCTAAATAGTTAGTTAAATTGTTAACCAAATAGCTACCCAGACTCTCTGCATTGTCCCTTTTTTGTACTAACTTTCTTGACTCATCACATACGCTGCTGCTACTGTTTATTATCTGTCACTTTATTCCTAGTTATATGTACATATCTATGTAAATTACCTCGTACCCCTGCACATCGACTCAGTACTGATACCCTGTGTATATAGCCAGTTTTATTGTGACACGACATCAGATTCAAACCTTTAATCTTCTGTTCACTAATTAGTCTACTGCGCCACCAGGATGGAGCTAGCATGCCATGTTTTTTACGCATACACAACTGTTCAATTTAGTCTATTCAAACAGAAGCCAGGTCGTTCAAGATTGACGTCGAAATTGGACGTCTATCCTGAGGACGTCGCGAAATGCCTTCAAAACCGGCCACTAGCGGCAACAATGAGCACTGTTACCATCAAGTAGGCTTGGGTTTTGCAAGGATGGATGGGCATAATTCCGTCTCTGGATCAGAAGGTTGTGTGTTCGATCCCAGGACACTGGTTTTTTATTATTGCTTTTAACCCTGTCCCAAACCTTAACCCTTACCTTAACTACTTGTAATGAGTGTCTAAACGTAATGTTTTAACCCTATCCCAAACCTTAACCCTTACCTTAACTACTTGTAATGAGTGTCTAAACGTAATGTTTTAACCCTATCCCAAACCTTAACCCTTACCTTAACTACTTGTAATGAGTGTCTAAACGTAATGTTTTAACCCTATCCCAAACCTTAACCATTCAGAATGAGTGCCTAAACTTAACCCGTAACTTCTAAAATCGACGTTTGGAGAAATGGTGGTCCTCTGTAGCTCAGCTGGTAGAGCACGGCGCTTGTAACGCCAAGGTAGTGGGTTCGATCCCCGGGACCACCCGTACACAAAAAAATGTATGCACGCATGACTGTAAGTCGCTTTGGATAAAAGCGTCTGCTAAATGGCATATTATTTATTATTATTATTATTATAAATGGAACTATACAGAGCAGCAGGAGCAACAAAAACACTTCGTAATGTGACGTTTGGAGAAATGAAACTATACAGAGCAGCAGGAGCAACAAAAACACTTCGTAATGTGACATTTGGAGAAATTGAACTATACAGAGCAGCAGGAGCAACAAAAACACTTCGTAATGTGACATTTGGAGAAATGGAACTATACAGAGCAGCAGGAGCAACAAAAACACTTCGTAATGTGACGTTTGGAGAAATTGAACTATACAGAGCAGCAGGAGCAACAAAAACACTTCGTAATGTGACGTTTGGAGAAATTGAACTATACAGAGCAGCAGGAGCAACAAAAACACTTCGTAATGTGACGTTTGGAGAACGTGGATGAACGTCTAATTCTGCAGTGAGACTGTGAGAGCTTGTTGCAAACAGACCCCATTTCAAAGGAAACAAGCACTCATTAAGCCAATTAATGAGTGCAGCCAACACACCTGAACACACTTAACAAATAGAGGATAGAGAGAGTTTTGTTGATGCTGAGAAGGGAATGTATATGTTTTCAAATACAATTCTTACTACGTTCTCTGAATGTAACTAAAGTTTTCTTGTGGTTTTTACGGAAAGTTTTCTTCACGTTCTGAGAACGGAATGTATGTTTTTAAATAACATTCTTAGAGCGTTCTCTGAACGTTACTGAAGTTTTCTTGTGGTTTTAATGGAAAGTTTTCTTAAAGTTCTCAGAACAACTTGAGAACATTACTTTAAATAGAACCATGAGGAAACCTGTAGGAAATGTTAATGCTGAAGTACTGAAATTCCCACAGAAGGACGTTTTAAAGTTCTTGGAACAATTTGAGAACATTCCCAATGTCAAACCAGTTGTAGAACATTCCTAGAACATTACCAAAATGCTAATGATATGTAACCATGTTTGAACTTTTAGGAAACGTTCTGTTGAAGTAATGAAATACCAATAAAATAATGTTTTTTTTTGTCGAGTTACAATGCCTTGTGCTGACAATGTTCCTGAACCCTGGCAAGACGGAGCTGCTCTTCCTCCCGGGGAAGGACTGCCCGTTCCATGATCTCGCCATCACGGTTGACAACTCCGTTGTGTCCTCCTCCCAGAGTGCGAAGAGCCTTGGCATGACCCTGGACAACACCCTGTCGTTCTCCGCTAACATCAAGGCGGTGACCCGATCCTGCAGGTTCATGCTCTACAACATTCGGAGAGTACGACCCTGCCTTACACAGGAAGCGGCACAGGTCCTAATCCAGGCACTTGTCATCTCCCGTCTGGATTACTGCAACTCGCTGTTGGCTGGGCTCCCTGCCTGTGCCATTAAACCCCTACAACTCATCCAGAATGCCGCAGCCCGTCTGGTGTTCAACCTTCCCAAGTTCTCTCACGTCACCCCGCTCCTCCGCACACTCCACTGGCTTCCAGTTGAAGCTCGCATCTGTTACAAGACCATGGTGCTTGCCTATGGAGCTGTGAGGGGATCGGCACCTCTGTACCTTCAGGCTCTGATCAGTCCCTACACCCAAACGAGGGCATTGCGTTCATCCACCTCTGGCCTGCTGGCTCCCCTTCCTCTGCGGAAGCATAGTTCCCGCTCAGCCCAGTCAAAACTGTTCGCTGCTCTGGCACCCCAATGGTGGAACAAGCTCCCTCACGACGCCAGGACAGCGGAGTCACTCACCACCTTCCGGAGACATTTGAAACCCCACCTCTTTAAGGAATACCTGGGATAGGATGAAGTAATCCTTCTACCCCCCCCCCCCACCCCAAAAAAAAAAAAACAAACAAAAAAAACACATATTGTAAAGTGGTTATCCCACTGGCTATAGGGTGAATGCACCAATTTGTAAGTCGCTCTGGATAAGAGCGTCTGCTAAATGACGTAAATGTTAATGTAAATGTTCCAAATACAAGCAACTATCGTGTACCATTCTCAGAAAGTTGTGGGCAGGTCTTATGCAAAATAACCGTAGGACAACCATGCTCTCATCAAGCTCTCTAAGAAACATATGGTTCTCAGATTGTTATGTGCTAGCTGGGAGAGAATTATCAGATGCCATAATTCCTTATGGCTGATCCTAGATACCTAAACAAGAAACTTAACTCCAACCATATACAGAATCAGATAGGACAGTATAAGGACACCATGTAGCCTGATTTCAATGAATTGTCTGTCTATGGGTCTATGGGGGATATTTGCTCATATTCCACCCAGTCTGTTGTAGATGAGGAGATGGCTGATGATTACAAGACACATGCGTCGAGGGAGGTCTGCATGCCAGATGTTTTGGGAATGAGCTTTTCTTCTTGGGTGACATTTATAAAACCTTCTAAATCAAATGTGAATAATTAAGAACAATTCCCAAATTGGTGAATCATCATGATTAATCAACTTTGGTCTTATTCATTTATAATGTGTTATTTTTGATGATTGTGTGTGTGTGCTTGTGTGTGCGCGCAAAGAGTCTGTAAGAGCTAAAGTCTCCAAAAATACAGTATATTTCATATTTTTAATTGGGCACAAAATGTAGGCTCATAATAGCTACTATATCCTAAAGATGAAATGCCTAATATCCAAATAATTTGTCATTACAATGAGTGTACAAAACATTAAGAACACCCCCCCCCACACACACACAGGGATGCTGGCCCATGTTGACTCCAATGCTTCCTACAGTTGGCTGGATGTCCTTTGGTTGGTGGACAAATCTTGATAGCCTACACACGGAAACTGTTTAGCATTAAAAACCCAGCAGCGTTGCAGTTCTTGACTCAAAATAGTTTGCCTGGCACCTACTACCATACCCAATTCAAAGGCACTAAAATATTTTGTCTTGCCCATTCACCCTCTGAATGGCACACATGTCTCAATGCTTAAAAATCCTTCTTTAACCTGGCTCCTCCCCTTCATCTACACTGATTGAAGTGGATTTAACAAGTGACATCAATAAGGGATCATAGCTTTCACCTGGATTCACCTGGTCAGTCTAGCTTAGTGGTTAAGAGCGTTGTGCCAGTAACCGAAAGGTCGCTGGTTCTAATCCCCGAGCCGACTAGGTGAAAAATCTGTCGATGTGCCCTTGAGCAAGGCACTTAACCCTAATTGCTCCTGTAAGTCGCTCTGGATAAGAGCGTCTGCTAAATGTAAATGTAAAATGTCGTGGAAAGAGCAGGTTTCCTTACTGTTTTGTACACTCAGTGTATGATATCGGCTGATGGAAGGAGAAGGATGAGAAATGGGGCAAGCCACTGAAAACATCTTGAGAATGTAGGCTATACGAGAGTTTGATAAAGAAGGAGGAGACGCGGTTAACGGAGTAATCCAACCAGCGGGTAAAAAGTGCAGTTTAGATGGCTCAAATTCCGCTATAACTGTACTGTACCGTGACACCGACCAGCCTCGCGCATGCACTATCAATGGGAGTAGAAAACCAGGCTGTGCGCACTCACAGTCACAGCACATCTCCACACACAGACACACACATCTCATTGTTTTGACTTAATTCAGGAAGACTGGATGTGGAAGACAGAGCATGAGCCTGTGGGAAAATACTACAAGCATTAATAACCCTCATTTCTAAGGAATCGATGGATTATTTGATTACCGTGAGATTCCGTTAGTAATATGTGCAATTTACACTGGTGGATTGCCCTGGTTATTTTAGATTTTCCTTTCTCCTCTTTTTTGTCCGTTTTTGTTTTCTTTATTCATTGTTCCCTATGAAGACAATTAACTCTCCCTCCTTCCAATCCTAATGAAAAGAGGGCAAAAAAAAGGGAGATGAGAGCAGCAAATCCCTTTTCATTCCTCTTGTAGCGCTCAATAAGAGAAGAATGTGTCGCCTATCACTCACGGAGGGGATCAAGTCTTCCGGACTGTCCCACGCGCTCAATGTGCTGCTGCTGTCCAGAGCAACACTACAGAGATAGACATAGAGCGCGTCAAGAGAACAGCAGCAGCCGCTCGAGCCGCAGCATCCAGCAGCCTAGCCTGGAAAGACACTTCAGCTGCGCTAGACAAGGACTGATTTAGCAACCTGTCTCCTCTGTCTGACTGTCTCCTCACCAGATTCATTATTATAGGACAGGCTCCTCGTTGCTTTTCCCCCTCTAAAGTCCCTCTCTTTGGAATGTGGTGTGGTGAGTACAAGTTGATGCATTACCTGCTCTTTGATAACCTGCATGGGAGAATGACAGGGTATCAGAGAGATTAATAAACCGGTAGCCTATAGATCACTTTTATAATAAGAATGACTTCTGTAATACGAGATCTCATTATTTATTCTAAAAATAATTGGTTTATTTCCATTATCAATTCTTATGATGAGTTTTATTTATGGGGTCATGGCTGGGGAGCTGAAGGTAAACAGATGTATATCTAGTAGGCCTAGATTTATTTGTGCTTCAAAATAGAATTGTTATCATAATTAGAACCAGATATACAAAGTGCTTGGAATTCAGATGCGGAACTTTGACATTTGCCTGCTCTGTCTTCATATTCTAATTGAAGACACAATGAGGATCCTCGCACTGCTTCTGGGGATGAAAGCAGCGTGCATCCTGCTGGTTTCCTCGCTCTCAGGCACGGGGGCAGTTAACAACAGCGGCCGGTGGTGGTAAGTAGTTGAGTTCATGTGTGATGTATTCATTCAATTAAATGCGCCTCCTAATGACCTATGCTCATTTCGACGAAGCCTGCAGCAAAGGAGTCAGTGCGAGATATAGTGGTGTATTGCCTGAAATATGCAGTGCTCTGCTTCCAAATCAACTGAATCAACACTAAAACATTAATTGGTAGGCCTGTTCCATGCTCGAAATAATAATGTGTTATTGTTGGCACCAGCTTCATAATTTCTGTAAATTTCTGCTAGAAAACCAAGCACTAACCACAAGCCATTAAGATTTGAGGGCCTTTGGATAAGACCTCCCAATTAGAGCGAGTAGCCTAACTAACTCGATTTAGCCAGTTTCCAATCGAAAGGAATTACTTTTTCCATAAAATTATTTGATATAAAGTATTATTTTTCAATATGATAACGATTTTGTTTTTTTGGGGAACGGTTGCAGCCCATGTTTATTCAATTTACCCCCCCCCCCCCCCCCCCCCCTCTCCCTCTCCCTCTCTCTCTCTCTCTCTCTCTCTCTGTCGCTTGTAATTTTGACAGTGTGGCTTGAACGCTAGACAACATTTTTCTGTCCAATGTGGGATACATTAAATATGGATTTATTTCATGGCAGAGAGCAGTTTCATTCCAGGTCGTATTCAGGGTCCTATATATTGTCTACGGTCGTATCGGATAAACTATAGGATAAATATGCATTCCCTCGCCAATGTCTGCATACATTTGTTATAAACTATAAAACCAACATGTGAAAATAGTGTGTCTTACACTAGCTTAAGTGGACAAATATACATTTAATGTTAAGTAGGCTTATAGACGTGGCATAATGTGCATTCTGTAAAAATAAAGAAATAATACCCGTATACTGCAAATATGTAAAGAAAGAGGAGCTGCGTTAATAATATTACACTGAATAATTCAAATTATAACGCAGACCGCAATATCATTCGTTATGGAATATGGCAACCTTGCAATGCCACTGGGGTAAACTATACTTTTTATTTTATTTATTTTTTTACATGGGTCTGAGTTCTAAACCAATCCTTATCACTACAATATGCCAAGAAAATAAAGAAGGAAAATACACAGCGAGAGAGAAGAAAATTGGATTGAAATATTTATCCGAAGATGGGATAATAGCGTTCCAAAGCCTGGACCGACCGCACTATACTGTCTGGCCCCTGCACTCTTCCAAAAAAAGATTCTGGATAGAACCAAAAAGGGTTCTATGCTTGCTTCATATATGGCACCCCTTAAGGTTGTATATAGGACCGCAATTGGTTCCATACAGAACCCTATATGGAACCCAAGGTTTCCATATGGAACCAATTTTGGTTCAGTAAAGAAGAACCCCTGGGGTTCTGATCAAATAACCCTAGAAAAGGGTTCTGTATAGAACCTTTAGGGATGCCATATATGAAGCAAGCAATATAACCCTTTTTGGTTCTATCCAGAACTTTTTTTTTTAAGAGTGTGGTCTGTCAATTAAATAATTATGTCTTTCTGATTGCCAAGGGGTTGCAGGAGACACACAACAATTAGGCTAAGTAACTGAAACCATAAATATAGTAGGCTGGCAATGCAATATGGCAGTCATACTGCAGCCAATAATGGCAGCCATAATCATATCAGATAAAGTAGACTGTATTGAAGTTGCTTGTTATTACTTTTGTGGCTGATACTCAAATTCCAATTAACTGTTTCCATCATCCATTATGATCAGCATCCTATATTAATAAATACATTTGAACCGAATAATTTTTGTTAAGGTCAATACATTTTTTAAAGGTCAATGAAAGAACCAAATGCATGAGCTTCTCTCTCTAACTCGAACTGATTCCACCCTCTCTTCTCTTCGTCTCTGCCAGGGGCATTGTGAATGTGGCCTCCTCTGCAAACCTCCTCACCAACTCCAAGAGCGTCCAGTTGGTACTGGAACCCAGCTTGGCCCAGCTGAGCCGTCGCCAGCGCCGCCTCATCCGCCAGAATCCAGGGATCCTCCACGCCATCGCAGCCGGCCTGCAAACCGCCATAAAGGAGTGCAAGTGGCAGTTCAGGAACCGCCGCTGGAACTGCCCGACCACCCACAGCCCGGCAATATTTGGCAAAATCGTTAACCGTGGTGAGTTGTCTGTTGTCCCTCTGGGCGTCCTCACTAAGGCAACAGGTGGACCTTTTTGGTACAGAATGTCATGGAATCCATTTGGGAAGGGAAAAGTCTATCTTTACATATCTTGAGATTTTTACATTTAATTCAGACCAAATAGTGACATTAATATTCACTTTCAAAAAATGCTCTATATTGTATAGCGCTGAAGAGAATTTCTGCTGTGTTGTGTCAGGTTGCCGAGAGACAGCGTTTGTGTTTGCGATCACGAGTGCAGGGGTGACCCATGCGGTGGCCCGCTCCTGCTCTGAGGGGGCCATCGAGTCGTGCACCTGTGACTACCGTCGCCGGGGGCCTGGGGGTCCTGACTGGCACTGGGGCGGCTGCAGCGACAACGTGGACTTTGGCCAGATGTTCAGTCGGGAGTTTGTGGACTCCAGCGAGAGAGGAAGGGATTTCCGATACCTCACTAACCTACACAACAACGAGGCAGGGAGAATGGTGAAGGAGACATTGTTGATTCACAGATAGCACTTCATACTGTATGTTCACTCTCTCACTCTTTAGTGATTATCCGATATCAACCTATTTTTCTGAATTTCATCCATTTTCTTTAATGTTTATTCCCTTCACGTTCTTCTAGGCTTTCTTCACTTTTCAACTTCTTCCAAGCTTTCTGTCCTCTTCCCATTCCTCCATGTTTTATTTGCTATTGATGTTATTCCACCTTTTCTTTGCTCACCTTCTTCCACATGTACATTTCTTCATCTCTAATCCTTTCTGCCTTCGTTCTCCAGACAGTGTCGTCAGAGATGCGTCAAGAGTGTAAGTGCCATGGCATGTCAGGCTCATGCACCATGCGTACCTGCTGGATGCGTCTACCCAGCTTCCGCGCTGTTGGGGACTTCCTGAAGGACCGCTTCGACGGAGCGTCCCGGGTCGTCTATGCCAACAAGGGTTCCAACCGCGCCTCTCACCGTGCCGATCCAAGCCATCTCGAACCCGAGAACCCCTCCCACAAACCCCCGTCATCCAGAGACCTGGTCTACTTTGAGAAGTCACCCAACTTCTGCACCTACCACGGCAAGACGGGTACCCACGGAACCTCGGGGAGGACCTGTAACAGCTCGTCTCCCGCGCTGGACGGGTGTGAGCTGCTGTGTTGTGGTAGAGGGTTCCAAACTCAGACTGAGAAGGTCACTGAGAGGTGTCACTGTACGTTCCACTGGTGCTGCCATGTTAGCTGCCTCAACTGCACCAGCACACAGATGTTACACCAGTGCCTCTGATCACGGGAGAACCAGGACAGGGGTGCAGAGATGGAGATGGAAAGGTTATTTGGGCAGGTGGTGTGTAGATAGAGGAATGGCGTGGTAGAGAAGGGAATGGCTAACTCTATAGAGGGGTAATTGGGGGGTTCAAAAGTGAATACAGGGAGTACTAGACCTTAATCAATGTTTGTTTTTTTATGAAAGAGAGAAAAGCACAATGATTACAGGGTGTAGAAGGAGGGTTTGTTTGTTGTGTGTGTGTGTGTACGTGTACGTGTGTGCTTACGTGTGCTTACTCCTGATGCTCTGTGGTAACAGAGTATGTAAGTGTGCTTACTGGGTATTTAAATGCTGTAGCTATGCAACCATGTAGAATGGAATGGAAACCAATCCTCACTATGGCTTCCCAACACGAGTAACAAGACCAGAGGCAGATTGGGTAGAAGGAAGTAGTTACAAAGGAAATAGAATTGTGGCAAGAGAGGGAGGAGAGGGGAGAGAAGGAGAGTAACGGTTACTGGACACAATGTCAGACAGATGTCTCTGTGGCAGGAGAACCACAAGCATGGTCTCTCATAAACCGGTGAAGAGCTGTAACAAGAGGGTGGTTATTTTAAACATCACTGTTTTGTTTTCTTTTGCTGCAGTTCTACTTTTCTCACATAAAATTGTGTGAAGTACATCTCCCGGGATGTGCAGTCCTCTCCCCCAATTGCTATGTACTTTGGTCCTGGACATGGACCAAGCCGTTATGATTTCCTGTCTAACTCACCACACATGCCCTCTTTGTTTCGATTGCTCTGGAATCTGCTACACCTCAACCCGGAGTTACCGCGGTGATTTACTGCACCATGGTTACTGACGTTAAAGGACTGGACGTTGTAGCCGCATCCAAGGATAACACAAACATTTTCTAAAATTGTATATCAACCTGGAATTCACTATGGGAATCGTATGTATGAATAGTTTGACTGTAGTATCAATACACTGAATATTGGGGAGTATAACTAGATGTATGTAGGAGATAGATAGTGGTGCTGCAAGAGAACTGGGGTGACCTGCCAAATAGTGAGATCTGCAATATGGCAACCCTGTTCCTAAAATGCAATGACCAGAGAAAAATTGTGAGACTTAACACATTGCCCTGCTGTGGAAAAGTGTGTAAAGATAATCCAATATTTTCCCTTCCAAGTTTACAGTGGACAGACAGAGGGTTTTCCCATTCAATATGAGCAACATCTAGCTGTGAACTATACGTTGAGGGAAAAACCTTGAATATACAGCCACTACAAAGGGGAATGTATTGAATATCAGCTAAGAGAACCAAAATGTTGTAAATAATATATATAGAAATATATATTTATGCTGAAGTTACTTGCAATTTTAGGGAGGAATGATTTATGCACCTGTCATACATAAGCCAATGGATGGAAGGAGAGACAAAATGCTATCATTAGTCATAAATGACTAAATTGTAAAATGTAAATAAGTCAGGTCATGTTTTTATTAAACTGTTATTCTGTTTATTTCCAATAATGTCGTTTTCACATTTTTGTTGAGGGCGGGAAACAGAATTTGTTAGAAACCTGGCGGAAACATTCTTCTTTCCTCCCTGCTCATTTTCTCCTAACACTTGTGTTGGTCATGTTCGTCATGCACTGAATATTACCATTTATGTAAATACAAAAATATTTATTACTGTGAATGTTTGATACGGTTATAGAGAGAGAAGTAAAAGAGTAAAACAAAGCATTTTAGATATTTTTCTCTCAAATATTTAGCTTTACGTTGTTTTGTATTGTATAATTGAACAATAAAGTTTATATTTTCTATTAAGTTGGCATGGAAATCAGCTCCTGACTGCCCTGTGTGTCACTGTCAGGGTATTATACTGTATCTTCTCTCCTTTAATTTCCTCAGTTGATGCCATATGATGGTCATATCATTTCTGTGCTTGGGATGCTGTGTGAGAATAAAGGCCCCATCCTTGGGTGTCCCAGCATGAATCCCATTACTTAGAAAACACAGCAGCACGCACATACACACACTCTAACATACAGCCATGCAACAATGCCTATATACTCCCACCCTCCACTCCACACCACAGAAGGATCCCGATAGCTTAACTATTACATAGGATTTTAACAGCTTCATTTACTTAAAGAATGAAATAATAGAATTAATAATGAACGCCTGCAGTCATCCCTAAACCCCTCCCCCCACCCTCCCCTAGCCCCCTGGCAGTCAGGCCTTAGCTCAACCACAGGAGTTTGGAAGGCACCCTGCCAGTTCCTCTTAGCCTAACCCAGCTCACCGCAGCACAGCTAGGGGCTACCGAGGGTCAGCCAGGCCGAGTGGCGCGCAGCTGCACTCAGCCCGCCAACAAACCCGCATCTCAACTGCCCTGTCCAACAACACACATCCGCAGCCTAAAGGTCCAGCCATGAGAACACAGACAGTGAGACAGTGTCACTGGTGGGAGAGTCAGAGTTTGGTCTAGTTATTACGCTAATATGACTGATGGAAGAAGCTAAGAAATACGAGAAAAAAGAAAAAAAGCATATACAACCAAAGAATGTTGTGAACCTAAGACAGAAAGAGAGAGACAGAGAGAGAGAGAGAGAGAGAGAGAGAGAGAGAGAGATAGAGAGAGAGAGAGAGAGAGTAGACGGATACGCGCTACGAGGGAGAGAGCAGATATTGAGCAGAGAGAGCGACTAGGAGAGTCCAGAAGAGATGAGCAGCTATGAGAGATCATCGAACATACGATCTTATCGCATCCTGCGTCCCTCTCAGGCCATAGCCCGAGAGAACATCTACGATGACTCGAGAGCCTACGAACACTCCGACTCTCATACCTCATCCCGTATCATCCCCTCGACCTCCCTCAATCCCTAGCTCACCGAGCATCTGTCATCGCGGCGACGCCGCTCGGCCTCTCGCTCGCTCGCTCCTCTGCTCGCTCGCTCCTCGCTCGCTCTGCTCGCTGCTCGCATCGCTCGCTCAGCTGCTCGCTCGCTCGCTCGCTCGCTCGCTGCTCGCTCGCGCTCGTCCTCGCTCGCTCGCTTCGCTCGCTTCGCTCGCTCGTCGCTCCTCGTGCTGCTCGCTCCTGCTCGCTCGATCGCTGCTCGCTCGTGGCGCCCGCCCGCAAGTCCTCTCTCCTTAAGCGCAACAGAGCGCGGATCTGCGAGGGCCGCGCCTAGTCCAGGCGGGAGGCGAGATAGCGATCTAGAGAGCTAGATTGAGAGAGATAGAGAGAGAGAGAAAGACAGATACAGTGAGGCAAAAAAGTATTTGATCCCCTGCTGATTTTGTACGTTTGCCCACTGACAAAGAAATTATCAGTCTATAATTTTTAATGGTAGGTTTATTTGAACAGTGAGAGACAGAATAACAACAAATAAATCCATAAAAACGCATGTCAAACATTTTATAAATTGATTTGCATTTTAATGAGGGAAATAAGTATTTGACCCCCTCTCAATCAGAAAGATTTCTGGCTCCCAGGTGTCTTTTATACAGGTAACGAGCTGAGATTAGGAGCACACTCTTAAAGGGAGTGCTCCTAATCTCAGTTTGTTACCTGTATAAAAGACACCTGTCCACAGAAGCAATCAATCAATCAGATTCCAAACACTCCACCATGGCCAAGACCAAAGAGCTCTCCAAGGATGTCAGGGACAAGATTGTAGACCTACACAAGGCTGGAATGGGCTACAAGACCATTGCCAAGCAGCTTGGTGAGAAGGTGACAACAGCTGGTGCGATTATTCGTAAATGGAAGAAACACAAAATAACTGTCAATCTCCCTCGGCCTGGGGCACCATGAGAGATCTCACCTCGTGGAGTTGCAATGATCATGAGAACGGTGAGGAATCAGCCCAGAACTACACGGGAGGATCTTGTCAATGATCTCAAGGCAGCTGGGACCATAGTCACCAAGAAAACAATTGGTAAAACACTACGCCGTGAAGGACTGAAATCCTGCAGCGCCCGCAAGGTCCCCCTGCTCAAGAAAGCACATATACAGGGCCGTATGAAGTTTGCCAATGAACATCTGAATGATTCAGAGGAGAACTGGGTGAAAGTGTTGTGGTCAGATGAGACCAAAATCGAGCTCTTTGGCATCAACTCAACTCGCTGTGTTTGGAGGAGGAGGAATGCTGCCTATGACCCCAAGAACACCATCCCCACCGTCAAACATGGAGGTGGAAACATTATGCTTTGGGGGTGTTTTTCTGCTAAGGGGACAGGACAACTTCAACGCATCAAAGGGACGATGGACGGGGCCATGTACCGTCAAATCTTGGGTGATTTCCCTCAGCCAGGGCATTGAAAATGGGTCGTGGATGGGTATTCCAGCATGACAATGACCCAAAACACACGGCCAAGGCAACAAAGGAGTGGCTCAAGAAGAAGCACATTAAGGTCCTGGAGTGGCCTAGCCAGTCTCCAGACCTTAATCCCATAGAAAATCTGTGGAGGGAGCTGAAGGTTCGAGTTGCCAAACGTCAGGCTCGAAACCTTAATGACTTGGAGAAGATCTGCAAATAGGTGTGGGACAAAATCCCTCTTGAGATGTGTGCAAACCTGGTGGCCAACTACAAGAAACGTCTGACCTCTGTGATTGCCAACAAGGGTTTTGCCACCAAGTACTAAGTCGTGTTTTGCAGGGGGGTCAAATACTTATTTCCCTCATTAAAATGCAAATCAATTTATAACATTTTTGATATGCGTTTTTCTGGATTTTTTTGTTGTTATTCTGTCTCTCACTGTTCAAATAAACCTACCATTAAAATTATAGACTGATCATGTCTTTGTCAGTGGGCAAACGTACAAAATCAGCAGGGGATCAAATACTTTTTTCCCTCACTGTAGATACAGTGGGGAGAACAAGTATTTGATACACTGCCGATTTTGCAGGTTTTCCTACTTACAAAGCATGTAGAGGTCTGTAATTTTTATCATAGGTACACTTCAACTGTGAGAGACGGAATCTAAAACAAAAATCCAGAAAA